AAGTGGACAGAACTTTTTTGTATGGAAAATATAGAGGTACCTTGTTGGTTGCAGTAGCACAAGATGGCCGCAACAACATCCTCCCCATTGCGTTTGCAGTGATTGAAGGTGAAACAAGTAATGCCTGGTTTTTTTTCTTAAAAAACCTTCAAAGATATGTCACACCCCAGCAAGGATTATGCCTCATATCAGACCGACATGAATCCATTAGAAGTGCATACATGAGAAATGGAAGCGGATGGACAGAAAATAATTCAACGCATGTCTACTGCATTAGACACATTGCACAGAATTTTATGAGACATTTCAAAAACACCGCACTGAGGAAAGATGTTGTAAATATGGGTAATTCCTTTGCTTCAAATTTGTTTCAATTTATTCATTATATAATTGTTGCTAATAAATATTTATATTAACTATGTTTTTTTAATATTGTTGTAGCGTATGGGATGACTGAACCACGATTCTACTATTATTACAACATCTTGAGGCAATGTCACATACAAGCAGCTAATTGGTTGGATGAGATACCTAGAGAAAAATGGGCACTTGCATGGGACAATGGGCGACGTTGGGGCCACATGACGACCAATATAGCAGAGTCTATCAACTCTATTTTGAAAAAAACAAGAAATCTACCTATTTGCTCCATGGTCACCGCAACGTACGCCCGTTGCAACAAATTTTTCATTGAAAGAGGGAGGCAGATAGATGCCCTCATCAATGCCGGTCATGTATACTCCGAAATTTTGGCCAAGAATTTAGAGGAAGCACAAACACGAGCAAACACGCACAGGGTCATAACGTTTGACAGGTCTACCACAAAATTTGTAGTAGAAGAAACACAAAACCCGCGTGAAGTTCGACCAGGCAGGGAAGTTTGCAGTTCACCTTGATGAGTTATGGTGTGATCGTGGGAAATTCCAAAAATTTCACATGCCTTGTTCACATGTTCTTGCTGCATGCAAGCATGCACACCATGACTTCAACAACTATATTAATTCAGTGTATACCTTACAACAAGTTTCAAAGGTATACGGAACACAATTTGGGTTATTGCGAAATGAAGAATATTGGCCAACATACACAGTACTTACTTTGTGTGCAAATCCAGAAATGAAAAGAACTTCAAAGGGCCGACCAAAATCAAGTCGTATAAGAACTGAGATGGACATTACAGAACATCAAAGTAGGATTAAAAAATGTTCATATTGTCATACCCCTGGTCATAGCAGAAGAACATGTCCCGATATTGCATGTGCATCTACTTCGCATCATTAGATTGTGTTAGTTAAGAAATGTCTCAATGTATGAAACTTAGGAGTTTTTCAATTAATTGAAAATGATGAAGATCTTATTGAATCATTTGATAAAACGAAGATCTTATTCAATGTATGTTTAAAAAGTTCAAGCAAACTGATTTTAAAGAGTATTTTCATAACTGCTGCATTAATTAATCTGTTGAAAGTTTGTTTTAATCTGTTGAAATAGCCGTTTCAATCTGTTAAAAGTCCTTTCAATCCATTGATACGTTCTTGATTCTTTAACAGATTTGTTTTAGCTGATACTACAACGGTTATATCAATTAAAACACTTTACAAAACTTTTCTAAGTTTGATTCAATCGATTGTTTCGTGTTTTAATCGATTGATATACTGCAAAACTTTCTTATAAAAACTTTCCAAGTTATTTTAGCTGATAAAAAGAAGTTTTAATCGATTAAAACTTTGTACAAACTTTTTCGAAGTTGTATTAATCGGTTGAAACGCGTTTTAATCGATTGAAACTCTATACAAAATTTTTCCAAGTTATTTTAATCGATTGAAATACGTTATAATCGATTGAAACAGATTTCAATCACTTTGTCGCTCGAGCGAAAGTCCGCGTCGCTCGAGCGAAACAGAACCTGAGAGTCCCCCTTGTTTCCAGGTGTCCTCGCTCAAGCGGTGTGATTTTCGCTTGAGTCACTTTAGATAGCGGTTATTTGGCCAACCGCTATCTAAACTACTATATTATATAGCAGTTGGGAAAATAACCGCTATCTAATGTAGTAGTTAAGATAGCGGTTGGCCAAATAACCGCTATCTAAAGTCATATATGTCAAAGTGATCGACTATAATGGGATAATAGTCGATCATACTTTTCGCTCAAGCGATAAAACCTTCGCTTGAGCGAGAATTTACCCCAGACTACCCCTTTGTTACAGGTTTCCTCGCTCAAGCGAAGGTTTTCTTCGCTTGAGCGAGAGTTCAGTACGCGAAATAATATTATTTTAATACAGTGAACAGTGAACAGTTGCGCAAAATAATATTATTTTATTAAGTGAACAGTAAACAATGCTAGTTGTATAAATAAAGTTGCAGAAGTGCTATTTGGGTAAATATTTTTGAAAACAGTATTATTTATGAAAAAAAGTCTTTAATTGTTCCTTTTAGTTATTTTCATCGAATTCCACATGAAAATGATCAGACTCTGCTCTTATCCGCATGTGGAAACCGCATCCTGAGTTACCGTGGATCAACCAAAAAACACAGCTACCCCTTCTGACCAAACAACGTTAATTTGGATCTCCTTCATGTTTTATTTTTCGGACAAACCGACACCAGAATGGAAGCTGTGTCATGAATTCATGGTGTTTAGGATTGGCAAATTAGATGAATTAAATGATGTGTACAATGATCCATCGCTTTTGTTAATTAAGCAAGCATCAAGATTTGAACCTATGCTAGACTTTAATGGAGAAATAAATTATGTACTGTACATACAATAATGCGTTTATTAAATTGACAAGTGTAAATTAACTGAACTTTTTATTGTTTAAAGTTGTTAAATCATCTTATTAAATTACGTGTTAAGACAAATTATATCATTTAAAGTAATCTATAATTATATACGGAGATAAAGGCAAAAAATTAGTTTAAATATATATATTAAAAACTTATAATCTATTTTTTAATAAAATTTTAAAGAAATTATTTTATTACCATAATCTTGTCAATCCCTCTCCCTGCCTTTATTGTATATGATTGAACCAAATATTATGATATTTTATATAAAATTTAATTGTTGTTGATCAATTTTAATCAAATTTAAATTCTTATAATATTTTATTTGTTGATAAGCTATTTTAATTATACTTATTTTACTTTTTTAAATAATATTAATTTTTATGCTGTTTTTATACAAAGATATTTAAACTAAAGTAAAAGTATAATTAAAATACACAAATTATGTGAATAATATTTTAAAAAATAATTAAAATTAAACAAAAACCTACCATATTGCAAGCGAAGTATAATCGTGAAATAACATACGTTATATAATACTATAAATAAAATTATTTTCTATGGACTTAGTTAGTAAAGATTGAAGAAACTTTAACGTTATTAAAAAGTGAATCAAGAAGATAAAATATAATCGTATTTTATATAAAAATAAAAAAATAAGCTTAATAAATATTTTATGAACAAATAAAACTAACTATGAAAAGGTAAAAAAAAAAAAAAGTAAAAAAAAAATTAGAAGCTGATGTTTTAAAAATGTTGCTTCTAGAAACACGTAAAAAAAGCATTACGAGCTACTAAAAGAAGTTTGTGTACCAAATGCTTGTAGCAAGATAAAAGCATAAGCATAAAAATGAAATGTAATTTCATTTGGTTTGTTATTTTAGTTTTAAACTGATCGATTAGAAAAATTCAAGTAAAAAAATAAAATTTATTTTGATTGATTATTTTTTTATTAATTTTGATTATAATTATTTAAAAACAAAAATATTATTTAATTATGGACATGCATATATTTATAATTACTCTTAATTTTAAAAAATTTACTTTATTTTCAAGTAATTCATATACAATATTTATAATAAAAAAATTAAAATAAATTTTATAAACAACTCTCACTGAAAGTATACTATTATATAATACTTTTATTTACATCTACTTTCATTTTAAAATAAATACCAGTCAATAAACTTATTCATAAAAAAAAGTTAATTATACTGGTTTGGATAACCATATTATCAATTAATTTAGAATATTAATCTACTTAATAATATGTTATTAAAGAAATACTAACCGACTATTTTAGTAAGATATGTTCTTCTTAATACATTTTTTTCATTTACAAAATTCAAATTCAAATCCTTATTTAAAGAGATCACATCTATTGCTACCTAAACGACTGGTTTATCTTTAAATGAAATAAGGAAAAAGTAATTAAACAATATTATATATATATATATATATATATATATATATATATATATATATATATATATAAGACATTTGAGTCTTTAATAAAAATGAATGTTTTTAAGATCCAATCAGTCAGTAAATTGATGAAATTATAGGTTTAAGGTTTAATTACATCTAATTAAATTTAAAAATATAACTTTTTAATAATATAATAAATACATTATTAATAAAGCTTACTAATTAAAATTTGATTATTTAAAACTAATAAATAAATATTTGATTAAATATATAGTTTGAAAATATATGTGGTTAGAATTTAATGAGAGGAGTGTAAGTAGTAGATTAAGTTGTGCCTAAGAAACCTCGTTCCCTATTATTTATCCCAAGTCCAAGCTGTTGTTATTCAGTTTCCAATGAAATCTTAGAAGACCAACATGCTTCTATCATGTCTCGTTCTCCGAAAACCCACGAGCACTCGTCTTAGTAGTCCAACTTGTTGCTTAACGTAACCCACTACATTGTTTGGTTGGTAATGGTCCCCGAAAGAGAAGAAGAAGAAGAATCATCAATCTCACACACATCGCACTCTACTTTGACAAGAGAATAAAACAAATCACCCTAACGCTATTATATCTTTACACTAAACAACACCTCTTGTGGCGAATCACTTGGTTAGCCACTAAACACCATCATTCATTTAAAACGCGTTTCCTATGTTATCACACCACACACACACACACACATGTATTGTGGAACCCACCACTCCCATTACATTCTACTACTGCACAATCACGAACCAACCAGATGCAGTTCGAATTCGTTTTTCTACCACATCTCTATCCATCGCTTTGATGGGGTACTACTACTATTCATCTTCCTATTCATCATATTCAATCAATACCACTCATCCATAATTTATTTATTTTTTTGTTTATTTTGTCTTATGGATAACATACAATTCCGATGATACTACTTCTCCTTTGGATTACTCTAACTTTCAAGAATCGATTTGGAATTAATACACTATATTCAAACGCTATGTGTCGGGAAAGCTTCGCTCTTTGTTTTATCCTAAAACCAAAGATAGTGGAATGGTTAATAATTAATTTAACCCGTGTGGGTTCAAAGGACTAGTTTGTTTGTTGTAGTTCTAGATTACGAAACACACAGGTATAACCAACGTCATCATTTTGGATTTTTTATTTTTATTATTTAATTCTCATCAATCTAACGGAAATATATGATATTTCTTTCAAATAAGTTAAAACGAAAATTGAACTATAACATTTCGTTAAAATCATCTAAGGTGTCTATGTAAATTTGAAATATCTAATAAAGTGATTTATCTAAGCCACATTGCCTAACAATCTATTATGTATCCACAATTATATATGCATATATCATCTTAACCAAATCTATTAACATATTATCTCACTTCATCTCTAGGGTTTCCAAAAATAGCAAATCACTAAGTGATTTATTGTGATCCACTTATTCCTTTTGACAAGTTAGACACTTCATCATATACTTTGTTACATCCTTTTTAAATTGTATCACAAAAAACTATCCTTTTAATATTAATATATCATTGTGAAATCCATACAAAAAATTAAGTCGATTTTTTTTGTCTTTCTTCTAAAATTGCTCATCCAACTCACTTTCATGTAATGTACACACACCTTGTTCTTAAACCTGATGAATCCTTGTTGAAATCTGTTTCCTTTTCTTTATCTCCTATCTCTTCTTACTAAAATTGATCTTCTTGTTGGAACTTCCTATAAACAACTTAGAGCTAAATTTTGCAATCAATTCAAATTTTTTTATTTTTTTTTTATGATCATGGGAGACATATGTAGTGACTATCTATTCAAAACATTAATTAATACATTAGATATTCTAAAATGGTAAGACACTTTCTCTCTTATTCAACTTGTTTTAATTAAATAATAAGTATTTCAAACTTTTATCATGTTATTTCCAAACCTATAATCACAATGCTAATCAACGTTGTAAATATGCATTTTGTCACTACAAATTTATTTACTATCATGTATCGCAACTCTCTTCTACACATAAACAAAACAATTTCAACTATACTGTAACGAAAGAAGAGTATAAATTATTTAATAGATAACATTTAGTTTAAATCTTATTTTAAAAATATTTCATTTAAATGATGTTATATTTTTAATGACATTGTTTGTTGTAAAATATTTAATAATATCTGGTGTTAATTTAAATTTATTAGTCTTTTGTCCTATAATAAAAATAATTAAATTGAATGTTCAATTCTTACAATATTTTTTTTAACTCTCATCCATTATAATTTTATTTTTTAAAAAATATTTAAAAAAAATGGTGTATATAAACTATTTTTAATCTCAATTTTAAATAATATGAGATTTATGATCAGATAAAAGAAAAATTTATATATTCTCTTAAATTTTATAAATTACTTACATGTATAAAGAAATATTTTAAAAAATATAATATTTAGAAACATATTAGTTACATATTAGATTTATTATTTATATAATAGATTATTTATATTTTGGGGACATATTATATACTTCACATGATTTATAAAATTGACACTTATATTATTTCACGTATTAAATTTGATAAGGGCAATAAATTTACAAATAGTGGAGAGGAAAGGAAGACTTAAGTCTAAGTCTCTCTTTGAATTAGAAAATGGATTCGAGGGTGGAAAGAGGAGATAAAATTTGGAAGGTAGATTTTTTATTTATTTTTAAGAAAAAAGAACAAAAAGTTGAAGAGGAATGAGTAGAAAAATTGGAGAAAATAGTATTGATATGATTAAATAAAAAATTGAAATAATAATTTAAAATATGTAATGATGAAACTATTATGAATTAGCAAGAGATAAAATAAAAATAAATTAGGATGTGACATATTTTAATATAAATTAATTAATTTATATTTTAGATAAAAATTTAAATATATTAAAATTAGTTTATATTTAAATTATAAAAATAATTTGTGATATTTTAAAAATATATTTACATTTTATTTTTTATAATTATAAAAAATTTAAAAGTATTTTTAAAAATTATTCAAAAAATTATTTATATAATTAATTATAAATCATGTATAATTTTATTAATTAAAAAAAATAAAATATAACAAAAAAATATCATAATAAAAATAAAATCATATATTAAAATTACATTATTAAAAAATTAAAATTAATTACTAATGTACATTAATATATTTAAATATATTTTTAATTTTATTAGAAATAGAAAATATAAAAATAAATATTTGTATGTTTCAATATTAATTTATATATAATAAATATAATTTTTTTAATATAATAATATTACTTCTTTAATATAATCCATTATTTTATTACTATTTATATAATTGATTAGTTATATATTCATGTAACTGAGTGGTTAAAATCATTAAAATAAAATTAATTAATTAAAATTATATATTTTAATGATAATGAAATTTTATTTCTAAAATCACATTGAAAAATTATAATTTATAATTAAATTAAAAATATATATAATTAGTTAGCAAGTAGTAATATATAATTAATATATTTTTATACTAAAAAATATATAAATAGATATAAATAACTAAAAATAATAAAATTAAAAAAATGAGAATTGTCTGTTAATTTAAAAAAAATGTGTAAAATTACAAATTATTTGTCTATATAAAGATATAGATATTATAAACAATAATTTTTTATAAAGATTAATTATTAATCTCAATCCTCTTACAAACTTTATTAATTGAAAATATCAATTTAAAAAAAATTATATAACTAATTTCACATATTTCATCTAATTATTGATAAATAATTTAATAATATTATACATATATATAATAATAATAATAATATAAAAATATATTTTTAATACTTATTAAATTTAATGACAAATAATTTTACAGATAATTGGTTATATAGAATTCCATAACCAATTATAGGTATTTACATAATTTATTGTGGGTAATTTGAACCTTTCATGCTGACCTTCCATTCAAATGTTCTCTATTTTGTGGGTTACTTGATGAATATGAACCCCATGTATCATTTTCACCTATTAATCACAAATTATTAGTTGAAACAAACATAATAAAATCCAGTCAAATCTGTCTCCTTAATTCTTGAATATCATTAGATTAATAGTAAGTTAAATTGAGGTGCAAAATTGGAGACAATTGGGAGTTTATGTGGGCATTGCAGGGTGGTGTGATAATTATGCTGAGTAGATGAGATGAAGAATATTTGTTTAAAAAAACCTGGAGTGTGTTTGGGTTTTGATTTTTACCTGTGTTGGACTGTGGGCATTTAAAGAATGAAAATGGCACATTACCAATCATCCTTTCCCCTCTGCAGGAAACACCCATCATTGCCCCCAACCCAACCCAGCAATCCTTTTCACTCTTACAAACCTCATTCATTATTCCCTCTCCTTCATCATCACCATCATCGTATTCTCTGCTTCAATCCACAATGGAGCCGTGTCCTTCCTCCAACGGGAACACGGTGAGTGGGTTCTACGCCATGGTCAGCAGGGGCATGGAGGAGCTCGACCGATCGTTGCTGTCCAACAACAACGCCATCTCCCTCCCCTTCCTCCAGCGCCTCCTCTCCCTCCTCCGATCCTTCCACACGCACCTCACGCTCCTCGTCCACAGCCTCCACCTCCCCCTCGGCGACAAGTGGCTCGACGAGTACATGGACGAAACCTCCAAGCTCTGGGAAACGTCCCACCTTCTCAAAAACGCCCTCTCCAACTTCGAACCCTTCTACTCCGCCGGATTCTCCCTCGCCTCCTCCCTCCACGACTCCCTCCCCCACCTCTCCCCACAGGTCCCCTCTCTTTCTCCCTCTCCTCAATTCACCTTCAACGTGCTTCACTCTGCTCTGCCCGACACCTTACTTTCCACAATTCATTCTAATTTTGCGTTCAAACATAAAAACACTAATTGGTTGTTTCCATTTTTTTAATCTTTGAAAGTGACTTTAGGGTCCAGAATCAATTGGGGTGGATATTCAAACATCCTCTTTCTTGTTAATCTGAAAAAAAAAAGAAAAAAAAAAAGAAGAAGATTGCCTTTGTAGTGAATTATCAAGTTTTTTTCTATTTTTCCAACTTTGTACCTTCTCTTTGGTATCTAAAGCCTCTGAATATTGATTTTATTAGTCCTTGATCACCACCATGATTTTAGCGGCAGTTCTAAGATTAAATCTTTTGATGATAATGAATCCGTTGTATTTGTCTGGGTTTTTTGTTTTTTAAATTAATATGGAGTATTTACTAATTTTGCTAATTCATTGTGGAATGATCACCTTTAATGAATTCTTTCTTTTCAAATATCTTTTGTTTAACTAGGCCTTTTTTACTACAAGGCTCGAGACTTCACTTACTAGACCCGAGTTATATACATGAATATGTCCTATTCGTCTATGATTTTCTGTCATATCAACAATTGTGACAAAACTACAACTGTGAGATGGAAATTTTGATTAACTATTAATCACAAATTTAAGTTTGATCAAGTTTTGAGATTGGGTTGAAGTTATGGTTTTGCAATGATGATTGGAAAAAAAATTGTATTTTTGTTTTAAATATAGGATTCTTGATGTCAGTGTGATTGTATAAGGTGCATGACATATTTGTGGGATTGAAATTGGAGGTTTTTTTTCATGTGGTGTATACAGGTAGTGAGGGCGATATCTGGGTGTAGAAGGGAGGCTCTGGGGTTGGAGGAGCAGAACCGTTCTTTGATGGAGACGAGGATTCCGACGTTGTGTTTACGTTTGGACGAGAGAGTGTCCGTGGAGTCGAAGCTGAACGGTTTCAACGGTTTCAGGGGAGTTCTGTATGCAATGAGGAATGTGAGTTCGATGTTGCTAATGATCTTGTTGCATGGGTTGGTGTATTGTTGGCCGGAGACGTCGGAGTTGGTGGTGGGAGGGTACGACGGGGGGCGGTTGTTTCTAGGGTCGGCGGTGATGGTATCGGTGGCGAGGCTACGGCAGAGGGTGGCGGCGGAGATGGGCAGTGCTGAGTCGGGGATATTGTTGTACGAGTTCAGGAGGGCAAGGGTGGCGGTGGAGGAGCTGAGAGAGGAGTTTGAGAGGGAGGAGGGCGGTGTGAGGGAGAGAGTGGAGAGTGTTAGAATGTGTTTTGGGGTCCTCAAATCTGGCATTGAGAACATCATTTGCCAGCTTGATGATTTCTTTGATGAGATTGTCGAGGGTAGGAAGAAGCTTTTGGATTTTTGCAGTCATAGGTAAATGTTAAATACTAATTATAAACATTCTCATTTCTTGTTTACTGTCTTAAAGAGGGGCATGTGCTTCAAAAATGAAAGCAGCTCTTTTTCATTCACTTGTTACTTTTTCATTTCAAAGCACCTCATTCCATTTATTTGCTTCATCGGATCACCTAATTCAACACAACTAGAAATATTTTCTTTCAATAATTAGATTTTAATTAAATCGATATAAAACTAGAAAAAACAATTGATTTTTTTATCGAACCAATCTTAATAATAAAGATCACAAATTTTAATTTTTTATAAGAAATATCATATTTTTTTAGTTTTATTCTTTATATATTTTATATTAATTATTATTCATCTTATATTTTCTCATATATTTTATATTTATAATTTATAATTATTATTATATTATGAAAGTATTATTTTATTTTAATTAAATACAATTAAATTTTTAAACCCTTGAAAATATATATGATAAAAAACTTTTTAGATGATTAAAGGATTACCGAAGTTAGAGTTGTGTTTGTTTTATTTATTAAAAAAACTGTATACTTTTTACCACTTTGTCATAAGTTATATATGGTCTATAACTCTTCTTACTTAGAATGTAAGAGTTCAAATATCATTGTGACGTAAGCACGAATATCTATCAATAAAAATGCTAACTTGTCTTCATTTTATCACTATATCTTATACAATAATTATCCAAACACTTTTTTATCTTGAAGAATGATATTTTTCTAAATAATTAGAAATTCAGGTTAATTATGAAAAATAAATTGTAACATTCCACCAATTAATTATGTTTGATTATGATAAATTAGTTGATTTAGAAATAATATAAAAATGGCGCGTTCTTAAAAAAGTACTAACATGAACGAAATAATCTAACTATCAATATTTCTGGATTTAAGATAAGTTATAGTTTAAAACATTTTATTAAGTAAAATTTTATTATGTTCTTTAGAAGAAAAAAATATGTTTTTTATTATTTTTTTATCTAACTCTTTGCGAAGAGAAGACGCATTTGCAAACTAATGCAAGCAAAATAAATAAGAAATTTTGCTTTATCATGGGCGGGGCAAAATTAACCGTCCGATTTAATGGGTGAAACACAAAGAGTATCCGGGTCGTGACAAGAAAATTCAGTTATTTTTAAGAAAGGATGATCCATAGTTTACACAATTTATTTTATATCTTCATCATTTATTAATAAATCATCTTAATTATTATATTAAAATTAAATTATAAAGATAAAGTGTATAATTTTGAATGGTATAGTTAATAGATTCTTTTTCTCCACATTTCTTCTTTTATTTTGTTTATTTCTTTAGATTTTTTTTACAAGAAAATGACACACTTTTATTTCAAGTAATCAGTGATTGAGCAGCTTAAAAAGCTACCAAGGTTTTTGCCTTGATGAGGCTGAACATTGCATGGAAATGCCCTTTGCATATCTTGGTGATTTTAGAAATATTGATGCACCCAAAATATTAAAATTGCACCAATTTTATCTTCTACTTACATGGATGATCCAAATAAAATGCACGAAATAATTTATTTTGCTGATTAGAAAATTGACCTGTTTGGATACACAGGTCAAAAACACTTATGGATGAAGAAATTGATTTGTAAAACTATTTTTACATTAACTTAACAATTATATTCTTATACAATAAGGTCAAACACATGTGATTCGATTCAATTCAATCAGCGATGACACAAGCCACTGTCTTAAGCTAGTTAAACACCCTAATAAGATAATCCTAATCCAAGCCAGAATAGAACCATTCTAGAGAGGAACAAAATTCCCAAACACAACATGAGTCTCAAATTAAAAACCCTAGTTCTAAAATTAAAAAAATCACCTTGAACTGTCTCTTCTGCTCTTTCCTTCCCATGAGGATGACGTGGATTTCAAGGTGTGGCACCCCAAGTGGCTGGTTTGACCAATAGAATGAAAGGAAACGCTTTTATGTGTGGTGTGATGGAATTAGTGGGTTGGATAGGCACGGAAGAAGACGGTGCAGTGAGTGATTCGGGTCGGTTTTAATGACCCGAGGGAAAGAAGATGAAGCATATGTTTACGGGAAGGAATAGAAACAGCAGAAGCAGCGACAACAGCGTGTGACGAAGGAGCAGCGGAAAGAGCGGCGTCGAGGGTTAGGTTGGGATGTGGTTGTCTCCATAGAGATGGTGAAGTGAGACAAGGTTGAGGAAAAAAGAAAAGAGAAATTGTGACGGTGACGAAGGGAAAGGAAAGGGAATAAGGAGAGAAAAGTGGGTTCCGATGGAATCAATGCTTGGTGTCACATATGTATGACATTTGTCAAATTCATTCATAGGATTGGTTCAAATGGTTTCGGAGAATCTGTTTGGTAGAGAAGTAACAAATTGGTGAATGTGTAAATTAATAGCTTTTAAAAAAAAAACAGTTTTTTTTTGTCTGGGCCAGAAGTGTTGAAGGCCCAAACGAAGCCTAGAAAAGACGAAGTCCGAGGTGAAGTTTAGGTTGTTGTTTGTAAATGGGGTCGTCGTCGTCGTTTTGGGAATACACGGTGCTCTTCTTTCTGCGCCCCCTTTTCGCCATAGTCTTCGTTCTCTTCTTAGTATCTCTTGGTAATCATTTTTTTTCTCTCTTGATTTCTCTCTTCATCGTGTTGATTTTGAGTTGAAAAGGGAACGCGTGTGTGTGGTGATGGTGTAGGGTGGTTTGTGGCGTGGAAACTGGTGCTGGTTCACGTTCCCTTGGTGCAAGAGGTTTTCGGCCTTAGAAAGAAACCTACCCGAGTGAAGCCCCCAATTGGTCGCTTCTCTAAAATTTACAACACACTTCACGCCCAAAACACTTCTTCCACCAGGTAACTTCTCAAAAGAAACTGCAATACGATTTAGTTTTGTTTTTCTAAAGATTTTTTTTTTCACTCTATCCCCATTGACAATGATAAGCAGCGGGATGCTTTTATCTTGTGTTGTGAAAAGGAACTACAATAAGATTTAGTTTGGTAAATTTAGAAAAGCTATTGATTCTCCGTCATGCTTTAGTTGTGAGAACAATATTGGATATGGACTTGTGTTTTGAGGACAGAGCAAGTTTGAGAGTGAGGGGCAAAAGTTTGTAACTGTTAAGACTTGTTTAATTATCTATTCGTATCGCAAAAGGGTGGAATGGATATTAGGTTTTAGGTTACACTGTTTGAAATAGGATGGAATGGAATGGATGCAATGCGGTCCAATTCAATCCTTCTCATTCTGTTCTATTCAACTCATCATTGAATATCCAAATTTAGCTCAATTGTACTTAATTGTTCATTCATTGGTATCATTTGTTTCCTCCGTGGTGGAAGGAAGAGAATTTCACTCAAATTTGCCTTGCTTCCTATTAGATTCCAATGGGTGTTCAAAAGTTTCTGTTCAGGTTATAGGGTTGATATGAGTTATTTGTCTTGTAGTCTGATTTTCTGTAGGGCGGGTTTGTCTTTGCTTAGTATAGGGGACAAGAAAAAATGAGGATTATTGTAGATGCATTGAAATAGAACTGAGGAAAAGGTATCCTAATACAAGTTTTGTTGCCTTTTAGGGTTCTAAGTTTTTTGACCTGAGAGTGTCTCTAGTCTCTACTGTTCAGTAGAATTCATCTTGTTTCTGTTAATGTTTCATTTAGTCAAAATTATGAACATAATATATAGTTTACAATATGTCAATGTTAATCTGAGATATACAAATGATCATGAATTCGAATGGTTGCTTTTGGTCATTGCAGATAAAATCATTAAACTGTGAAGTAACGTGATGAGGATGGCAAACATGGGGTCGTGGAAAGTAAAACAGGCTGTAAATCATTGATTGGAAGATAAATATATTCGCAAGTAGTAGGCAACACGTTTCAGAAACGGAAGATTGTGATATTAAAACCTTGTATATAACATGACAAAACAAAGCCATGAATGGGCTTGCCGTGGAACTAGATTATCAATTTTGAGTGATGATGAATTATGATTTTTTTATGATAGCTTATATATATATATATATATATATATATATATATATATATATATATATATATATATATATATATATATATATATATATATATATATATATATATATATATATATATATATATATATATATATATATATATATATATATATTGTATGCAGGATGTTGAAGCACCAATATAACAGGCTACTTAAATCTTGTAAGACTGGTTAGAATCAGTTGAGTAAGAAACATATGGCCATTTTTACATCTTTTTTGTTGAAGGTAAATATAAGTAATTGTCTTTACTAGCCGTACCTTTTTTTAGTGGTGGGAATGCTGTATTTAATATGCAGAATTATTTTTTCTCCAAAATTACCAAACATGTGTTGGGTTTGGGTGTATTCATAGTTCTCCCCCTCTCCTTTTAACCCAAGGCCTGCGTCAAAACTGAAAAACATCCATGAATATTCTCCCACCTATTGACTACCAACAAAATTTCCCCTCCTCTGTTTTTCTTTCCTCAAGCAGACGCACAAATAATTGGTGCTTCCCTTCATCTTGTGCCTTAGGGAGTACACTTGCTACAATTTGGGCTTGTTGGGTGTTGATCTAGTTTTATGTGTACAAGTACATGGTTTGTATAAATCATTATGCGGGTGTTTACTTCAAATTCAAATAATTCATGTTTGCAGATTCATTTGAGTAAGGATAACCCTTTATTTCTAGAAAAGATATTACATATATTATAGTACCTTCGTTGGCATTAATGAAATTTTTTGGTCGTGTAATATTTCTTTTCCATTTCCTGAATGGTAAAGAGAGATATTTCCATTTCCTGAATGGCAAAGAGAGATATGTATTTAATGATGTTAATTTATTTGAAAGAGAATTTGCCTAAAATTTACTAACAAATGGGTATTCAGATAAAAAATATTATTTCATTTTTTCTCTAAAGTTTTAGCAAAAATCTAAGCATCCTCTGTTAAGTAAAAATTGTCCTTACTTTCTCAAATGTTTCGTAAGAGAGTTTAAAGGACAATTTTTGTTCAGAAAAAAAAAATGTATTGAATAAAATATAGTTTTGCCAAGCTAAGCGTGTTTGTAATCAGTAATTGAGTAAACTAGATTTTTTTATTTCATTTACACTTTTTAGATAGAAAAAAAAATTCTTCCAAAAGTTCTTTCATATGATTTCTCAACAAATTTTATGAATGCGTTCATATTTTACTAATTTGATAAACAAACATTACAGGAGACCATAAACATATCAAATAAAAATATGAATAATGAACTCAGTTTATGTGTATGAACATCCAACGAATAAAGATCCTATAGTATCCATACATTTTCAGTCACTAAAGAGGATCGCAATGCATAACAGCTTAGGGATAGTTATTTATCTTAAATTCGTAATAACGTCATGTACATTTAAAAGCTTAAAAAAAATGTACCGCTAAAATTGTTAAAGTGGATTTTTAACTTCAGCCATGTTAATAAACTCACATAACATCCGTGTCAGAGAAGTTCTTAGGATATTTAAACCGAATTTCAATCAGGGAATCTTCAATCCTATTAAGCCCATTATCAAAGACGGGGAAATATACACGATATGTCAGATTTTAATATCATACAATTGATGAATATCATGAAATTAGTTTCATCATTCAAGTTGTAGTAATAACAAAACATAAAGATAACCCAGAAACATTACTTTTACCACCACAAGGCCAAAAGAGTGGACAGCTTCCTCTTTACCCTCCTGCCTTGATTGCCTGCATCACATATCAGCACAACTGTTATTATAAATTAGTTTTGGTAGCATAGCTAGTGTATCAATGAAACAAACAATAAATCAAGCTAACCTGAATAAGCTATTAACAAAAACTAAGACAGATATTACTTTGGTAATAAATAAATTCTTATTTTTCACAATTAAAGTCAATGCAACTAGAAGCTGCACCTGACACATAACATACATACACACACAATGAGCCTACTACACTAGTTTCAGAAACATGATACATTCCACTGAAAAATTATTTATAAAGGAAATTTTTGTTGTAAACGGATCTAAATCCCTATTATCCAAAATGAACCAGTTCATAATGATAATGAGTTTGTAATATGCATAATGAAGCAATGACTATCATGATCTAAACAAGATGAATTTCCATCATGCTTTCCAGTCAATAACATTTGCAAGTAAAGGATGCATTATGACCAAGGTTTGATGCATTTTATCAAAATGTTAAGATCCCATGCTTAATATCAAGAAATTGTAAAGGATAATCCAGTAAAGCAAACAAAAAATATATCAATTGAAGTAAGCTAAAATTTTAACTACTTTAAATATATAGCACAACTAGTACGAAATATAAGATCTATACCATCAATAAATCAAATTGTAAGAGTATTTGAGGGAATCAAATTACCTAGAACTAGGTCATAACTTAGAAGTCAGAACTAACTCTCCATCACACAATAAGGCATACCTCATCTAGGATTTAAGACAGTTCAACAAAAGGCATATAGATAAATAATCCATTTCTTCCATACATATTTTGTCAATAAAAGCACTAATAGCTGATTCTATCATTGGACTAGTGACAAAATTCAATCAGAAATATTAACATACCTGTACACGTATTTATCTACTGCATAACTATTTTCACAAATAACATGCCTCAACTGTCTTCAGTTTCCTTGCTGCCCCTACTGCCATCACGTTCCATGCAATCAGCAGCATCATGCAAATGACTATCAGCAGGCTGTATGATCTTACCAAATAGCAGAATTGAACCAGAAGCAACTTTGGTGTTGCAGTGCCGGGTCCCAGTAAACTCAGTGTCAAAGGAATGTAAACTACTCTGGCTATGTGGTGACAGGTCATCTGATTGAGAGCTGCTGATGTTTAGCTCTGTTGACACAATTCCCATATTGTTCCCGAAGGAACTGCTACCCATGTACAGATAAGAGTTATCATTTAAAAAGTTGGAAAAACTTGATGCAGAAAATAGATCATGCCTGGCTCCCTGCATGCCAGCAGGAAAAGTATCATAACTCAACAATTTCTTATCCATGTGTCCCATTGTTGAGTTAGGGAAACCTGTCATAGGAAAGAAGGGGTCTCCCTCCCTATCACTTATCAGTCCAGAACCTTGGTCAGCTCTAAACCTTTTTGAAGGGGAAAACATTGTATGAAGTGCAAGTGAGGGTGAAACAAGTTCAACCTGCCAAGGACTGACTCGCTTAGCATTATGCAAGACTTCAGGTTCATCCCAATTAACCTATGATATTGAGATCATAAAAAATAGTAAGGAGCCAATAACACCATTTGAGATAGATAAGAAATCATAAAACTAAATTCTCTGAGACAAAGGTTTCTAATCAATTAAAAGAGTACGCTAACACAAATCACAATACTAGGATCCTTTGATACAATACTACAGGAATGAAAGAACTTCAAAAATAAAGGGAGATAATTGCTATCTGTATTTTGAAAAGAAAATAAACTACCAATTAAACAAAACAACATCACCCCTCAGGGGCAGAGCTTAATTACAGTGTCATCCTATGTCGTATGAATGGTATCCAATGGATAGATAATAATATTAAAATTATTTCTTAAAAGTGGAATCTTGTGGGATTAAACCCCACAGAGTACAATATTTGGACACAGAAAGAAAAGAAGCAGCAATACGCTTACAGATTCAAATGTAAAATGTTACATTTTACCCTGTCGGAGTAAAAACACAGACATAATTATAAAACTTAATAAACTTAGTACAGCAAATCTGTACATTTTCTCAGCTCAAAAAACTATCCAAACATTCTGTAATTCTTTGTCGCCGCAAATGCATATCACTCTTTCATTCTCTCTTTTCATTAATACCTAAGGGCAAATATTTTCTACATTACCCATATACTAAATATGTCCTCTTTCAGCCACGAAGGACTATTATTGAGAATCAATCATAGGAAAATATGTGATTTCCTTACCCTCTGTAATCATATCTCCACATGGATTGAGCGTGAGAATAATCTCATTGGGTTATAAAGCACAACAATTAACCTTCTCCAATTTTTTTTTTTTTTTTAAACATAAGTCCATCCCAAACAAGATGCAAAGATTTCATAATACTTGTATGCTTCATAAACCATATTTACTTTGAGAGCACTTAAATATACTTTATTAAATACTATTAATACTAAAATTAGAAACCATTAAATACTTTTAATACTTGTGATATAATAAACGCATCCTTTTCTAACATAAACTTTCTATTTTTGTTTTCCAAATAAAGACCAGTTGCTAGCATTTGGCAAAACTTTGAGAGCACCTTGCATCCTCCTATCCTTTCTTTCAGCACAAGAAAACCCCTGTTTGGATCAACTTTTAACTTATGGAAATTTTTTAATTGAGATAAGTATTTGATTACTAACTTTACATGTTTATAGGTGTACACTGATAAGTTAGTTTACATGAATGAGATTCCAAAAATGCTCAAGTACCTAAGTCAAATTTATCTTAAATAAACATGTAATTAATGCTATTTCCTTGATTATTTTATTTTCTCCTCAATCACACAGCACGATGCAAACAAAGCATACCTGAAGCATGCGCCAAGGTCCATTATCAGATGCATTCGCAGAAGTCACCGTCCCTTGAAACCAAGTCATTCTAGAAGAATCCTCAGTCTCCATTCCTATCTTCACTCTCATTCCGGCAACCCACGCGCACTTCATCGCGTCCTCCACAACCTCAGCACTCACCACAAAATCCGCCAAACCCGCCTTCGGATAATACACCACCTCAAAAGGGGCGTTCCGCGCCGCGGACTCTGTCGCGGTTGCCACCGCCTTCGGCGACACTCTCCCGGTCGCGCTACGAGTAAACCCCTCCCCCTGCGCCGGCGCCGGCTGCTCCGCCTCGACAATCGAGGTTGTGGAGGCGAACCTCGTTGAGCGGCGGATCCCGACAGAGACGTTCCCATCGGCGTCCTTGACGAAAACGACAGAGTCGCCGGCGATGAGCTTCTTGTGGTTGACGAACTTGCTCCAGCCGGTGGTGAAGAGGTGCCTGCGCGGAGTGCCACGGTAGATGTGGCGGAACCGCCACGCGACGCCGTGAACGTCGGTGACGGTAAGGAGCTGGACGGGAGGATCTGCACGGAAATCAAGCGGAGGGAAGACGGAGTCAGCGCAGAAGCGAGGCACGGAGAATCCGCCGCCGTTGTTGGCGTCGGAGGGCGTGAGAATTTTGGAGAACGAAACGACGGCGTTTTGGCACTCGCGCTCGTCGTCATCGTTTCCGGTGTTGCTGCCGTAGTTTTGGTGGTTGTGATGGAAGGGATGAGGGAGGGGAGTGAGGATGAGCTTGGCGAAGACCTCGTCAGAGAAAGGATCGGCGAGCAATTCGCGGGAGGACACGATGCAGGGAACGAAGGGGAGGGAACGGAAGGCAGGGGAGAGCAAATGTGAGGGAGAGGCGTGCTCCATGTGACCCTGAGGGAAGTAGTAAACCCTAGAATGCAGCTTCGGGATGTGCACGGCGGCGCCGGCGCATGCCCGCCAGATTTTGGGGTCGACTCGGCGAGGCTCCGGCGGAGGCATGTTGAATTGAACTAGAGAGGATGAGAAGTTTGAGTAGGGTTTATATTTTGAGACATGAGAAGGCAAATGAGAAAGTGAGGGAGTGTGGCAGTGCCAGTGCCAATATTGCAACTGTCCGCGCTCCTCTCCCTCCACACAACCCGTTGTTGTCTATGACTGAATTTGGAACGAGCGATTCTCGCTAGTCGGTTATGTTTTCATTTCTTCTACTATATTTTTGGCTTCTAATAATTTTTCTACTTTCTTATTTCTTATATAATAAATTTGTGAACCCATCTTTCTACCAAACTAGAAATAATTTTAAAATGAGAATACATATTTGGAATCAATTAATATCAATCCCAAAATATTAACAGAGTCAAAAGCAATAACATATAGCATATGAAATAACTAGGGTTACTGTAATTAATATAAAAAGTATTTTTTATAACAGTAAATGTAAACTATATAAGGTTTAATTACACATTTTGATATTCAACTTTTACACATTTTATCATCAAATGTTTGATTTTACGGATTTTGTAATTGATATTTCTAATTTTTACACATTTTACATTTTTGTTAGAGATTTATCAAATTCTAAACAGTGCAACAACAATAGGACATGACGGGAACTGATGAGCATCAAGTTGCAAAAAATATATTCTAAATTTATACGACAATGACGTTGTTGAAGGTGGAAAACATGGAGTAGAAGATGAAGTGCTAGTCATTGTTGGAAGTTGTACGAGAGGAGAGGGGAAGAAAAATCTGATGTAACACCAAAACTAATAGCAGAGATAGAACTGCAAACTTTGAACTATGGGTGAGAAAAAAAATTAATATTTATCTTACAATTCTAATTTATTAATATAATAATAAATAAATAATTTAAACTTTTATTATTATATTAATAAAAAATGTTGAATAATTATTTTTTAAAAGTTGTCAGAATATTATTTTCGAAACAAAAATAACACGTTAAAATAAAATAATGTATATGAGTAATATTAAGATTTTAAATTATATATCTTAATTACAAATTGGATAGATTTTATGGTTAATTATAGTAAAAGAGCTGTTTTTTTTAGTGTCTTTGGATTAAAAAAATTTAGAACAATTAGTTTTATGGAATTTTTTAAATGATTTTAATGACAAAATATGCTGTTTGAAAAAAAAATCTGTAAGAGTCAATAGAAAATAAAATTTTTTACGTAAAAAGTACAAATTTAAAATTTGTTAAGATCTTGTTCTCTCTAAATTTTTTTCTTATTTTGTTTGAATTAGAATTTGATTATTATTAAATGGATTTTGATTAAGGTATTATCAAATTTGGTTTTGCTGGATTATTATCACTTCAAATATCATCGATTCGATCTTTATTGATGTTATCAGTTCAGCCTAAATGTAAACAATTTAAGATTGATTTTTTCAGTAATATCTTTGTTGGATTGAGATTGGATTTGAGAGAAGAAAAATAAGAGAAAATAAGTAGAAGATGAAGTGAAATATATAAAAATATGTAAAAGGCAAAATTAATTTTATTCATTAAAAAATAATAAATACTCAAATAAAATAAGAAATAATCAAAATATCTTGATATAAATTTTAATTAAAATAAATATAAATATAAATTAATAAAATATCTAACAAAATAAAAAATAAAATAATTTTATTATTATTATATATTGTAATATATATTTTTAATTATTATTTTAAAAAGTAAAAATAAAAAAATATACATAGCTCACTGTAAATAAATTATAATCGATTATGTATATTGAATTAAAGATATTATTATTTTAATAATAATAGAAATAACATTTTGTACATGAATTTAAAATTAAATAAAAATACTAAAGATTTTCTGTGATTTTCATCTTTTATTTTAGAAAAACAAAATCGTCTTTGCAAATCAAGTAAATGAACTTATATAAATACAAAATTTCTTTTCAAATTATTACATTTCTTTCCTCTAAAATAGTACTTTATTATATAAATACAAATTTACTTTTTAAAATTTAGATTTTATTTGTTTGCAAAGAAAATATATATTAAAAAAAACAAAACCAATAAAAAAAGAAAAATTAATAATTTTCCTTATTAGACATCAAGAAAAACAATGAAGGAACAATTATAATTCACATTGTAACGAAGATATATATCTTTTCCTCGTAAATAATCAGAAAATAATAAAAAATATTATCTTATAAAATTATCCTGACTTAAATAAATTATTATTTATTTTATATTTATAATTATATATTATAATATATATATATATATTATTATAAAAAATAAAATATATAATTTAAAAGTATTACTTTAAATAATTATACAAATAATTTTATAATTAAATTGATATTTAATTTTAATCTAATTATTTATTATTTTTAAAATAAATATTTTTTTATTTTTAAATACCATTTCTAATTTATATATATATAATTAATTTTTCCTGCTTTTTTCCTGCGGAACACACAACTAATTGTTATCTTCCATAGGTTAAATAGTCCGTGTCATTTTATCAGCAAATTTGTGATTATGGTTTTATACTAACAATTTTATTTAATAGTTGTTCTATTTAATGGATTGAAGGAAAACAAAAGTGCATATGTTATAATCAGAACCTCTAGTTCCATATGATATATATATATATATATATATATATATATATATATATATATATATATATTAAAAACTGACGGTGTCATACTCATAACTAACCACGATGGGTAAGTTTAAATAATCATTTTTAAATTAGGATATAATTAAAAAAATTAAAATAAAATTGATAAAATTACAAAAATTAGTGTGATTTATTTTATTATTAAAAAAATTAGAATAAAAAAATTTTAATATAATTTTTTATAAAAAAATATAATATTACGTAAAAGTTAAATAATAGTTATTTTATTATATTTTTATTTTATTTTAATAATTATTTATATTATATTTTTTAATATATTTATATTTATAAATTTTATTATAATATGAAAATAATATTTAATTTTTAAAAAAATATTAATATTAACAAATTTATTATATATTATGACTAAAATATGATAAATTCTGTCTTTACATAATTTTAAAAGATTGTTCGTAACTAATATTTTTGTCATTAATAATATAAAAAATTGAAGCTAAATTTATTTATGATTTAAAAAAAATATTTATTATATTAGTCATTTTAATCATAATTCTTATGTTTTGATCTCAAAATAAAAAAATTAATGAGATTTAATTCATAAAAAAAAATGATGAGAGGTATTTATTTAATATTTTTTTAAATATTCTTAATTTTGTATGTTTAAAATTTTATATAATGACTCTTTTTTTAACAGTTTTTATTTTTTATTTTAAAAATATAAAATATGTGTTTTATTTTATTTTATTTTTCATTAATAATAAAATTTTCATTACTAGTTATATTATGTTGTCCATTTTCATTATATTGAAATTTTCAATAATGTTTTTCATTTCTCACTGTAACTTTTATTTAATTGTTGATGGTCATCCTCTTTTGATTAAAATAATTTTTAAGCTAGAGTTATATACAGAAAAATTAACTTATTTTTAAAAATAAATTTCTAAAGTGATTTTTTTTTAAACTATGGATAAAAGTAAATTAAATTGACATTATTTATAATATTAATTACTTATCTCAGAGAAAAAGAGTGTAAAAAATAATAAAAAAACATATGTCACATATGATTAAAGTCGAATTTCTCGATTAAATGTCTTAATTACGTTACCAAACTCTTAATCACGTTAATTTAAAAATCAATATAAGTTATTTTTAAAATAAAATACTTAAAATATGATTTCTAAAGTTAGGAACTAAAAAATATTTATAAATTTAGAAGATTAATATTATTATTTTTAAATTTGAGAAACTAAAAATATCAATTTTACATTTAAGAAAATATCCATTTTAAATCTGGGAGACTACGGACATTTAATAGGAGTAATTTATTGTTGTTTCTTGTCGTTTAAACATTGTGAAATAAAAATTTATGACGGCACATCTTTTTTTTTAATAAATTAAAAAATGAGAGAAAATAGAAACATATTATAATATTATATTATAAATTAAATGAACTAAAAACATATTTTAACTGTAAATTATTTATTATGTTTTTATTTAATACTGTTTTAGTATTATTTACTATTTTTATTAACTCTTATCCAGTACTAACATAAGTAATGAAATTAATAAAATTAATTAAGATAATGAAACATATTTAAAAATAAGATAAGTAGATTATATTTGAGTTTAATTTAATTAATAATGTATTTATTGTTTGTGTAACTAAAGTACATATATAGAAATTTTTAGATTTAATATTTCCATAATTAAAATTTATCAAAATAAATTATATATAATTACTTTATTTATATGAAATGTTAATTATATTTTCTAGTTCACTTACACAATTGAAATTAATTTAATTATGTTAACTTAAAATATATTTTACCATCTTGATATATTAATTAAAAATGTTCTGTACTATCTTATTATAATGATTAATATTTTTTATTTGATTAGTGATGTTAAATTAATTAAAATTATTAAGAATATATGGTTTTTTGGAAAATAATGTAATTTTTTTTTCATTTTTCGAATGATATTAATTTATGAAAGTATCTATTCTATATTTATACGAATGGAGAGTTTGATCTCACTATGGGTATCGAATATTTTTAGAAGACCTGATCTCGAAAACTATCATGATGTCATCTTCTTGTTTGATGCTCACGTTCAATGAAGGTCATTGTATGAAATGACATTTTAACGCTCAAATTAATCGATGTACAATAAACGTGATTAATAAAATTAGTAATACTTAAAGGTATATATATATATATATATATATATATATATATATATATATATATATATATATATATATATATATATTAATTATTTTATCATACTTTGTCTCTTAGCACGAGAGAACATATATCATCTTTCATATTTTAGACATAATCAAACAAACTTTCTCGTGCACATAATCTCTTCTGAAACTCATGTTATGGGTCAAAATCTATTTCTTCTATTTTATTATTTTTATATGAAAATTATGAAAGATTTAAAACATATCGAAACTAAAAAGAAATAGAAAAAAATTAAACGATAAAGTATTAAGATTAAAAGAAGATTAAGTACTTAAGTGTAGTCGAAAATGATAAGGTGAAAGATCGAAGAAGTCAATAATAAATAATATAAAAAAAAAGTTATAAGGTTAAAAATAATACAAAATAATTATAACATTTAAATAACTCAATATAAACAATTAAGAATATTGTTTACACTAGTAAAATTGCATAAGAAAGATAAAAAGGATTAATATAATTTTTTTATTTTTTTAGAGATGCAAAAAATAATAAATATAAATAAAATTAAATAAGAATAAAAATAATAGGACAAAATTATATTAAAAAACTTAAATTCTAATAAATACTGTGAAAATTTTTATTAATTTTCTATTATATTTTCTTTTTTATTTTTGGTAATTTACATTTCTAAATTATATTTTCAGTAATTTACTTTTTTTTCCAATTTATATATCCAATAAATTCCTTTTCAAACTTTATCCTTTTAATCTTAATATTTTATTTTTTAAATTTTGTTTCATTTCAATCAATTTGTACTGATTAATTAAACGAAGAAAATCAAAATAACATATTATTTATATATACATACATACATATATATATATATATATATATATTAAGATCTATTATAAAAATTGGGTTTAAATTAATTATTGAATAAAATATTAATTTATGAATTTAATTAAAATACTGTATAAATTAAAAAATTATTATTTATTTATCTAAATAAAAAAATCAAAAATAACAATTGGTTCGAACATTTTTCACAATAAAATATATATGATTATATTTAAATATGTTATTAGTTGTTTTTGTGTTATGTAGTTCCTTTACTATATAAGTTTCACCGTTTTAATTTCTCAAATCCAACACAAAAATCTAACAGCCATGATTATGATAAGATTTATGACTCAATTTTTACTCAATCAAATGTTTTTTTTTAAATAAACATAAAATAAATTATCTTTAACTTTGTAATCACTTAAAAAAAACAAATAGGTTACGTCATTAGTAACAAAAAAAAAGTAAGGAAAAAATATTAAATATTTTTGTCAGAAAAATAAAATAATAAATAGATTTTAACAAGATGAGTCGACAAGCTCGAATTAATCAATCTTGAATTTGTGATTTTTTTTCATTACTCTAACAATATTACGTGATCCATTATTTTCGGATTTATCTTTTGACGCAAACACAAATACACACATAAAAATTACATAATTTCTATATTTGACAGACATAATTTTAATATTTCGAAAAATTAATTTATAACAATGAAACTAGTTATTTAACCTCTTACCTTTTTTAACTGTTTTTTTTTTAACTAGTGTCAATTTTGATGATATATTATTTACCCGTACAATCATTATTAATTTTTCTCCGATAACATAATTTTAAACTATCTAATATCATTTAATTATTTTATCCAAATTCCTAAATTTTTAATAGTAATCAACTTAAAATTAAATAACTTCACACTATCAATGTGAACCTTTTTTTAGTATCATTTTGTAAATCATTAATATGAGTTTTAATAAAACTATCGTAAAGTTAATAAATTTGTCGTATATATATTAGAAGAAAGAAGACCTTTTAAAAAAAATGAACAAATTAAATAAATCATGGTGTAATAAAGTAGTTTGCCAATAGTTACTGATAAAAGAAAATTACACTAAAATAGGATATTCTTATTGTAGGACTGCCCGAAACAAAAACCTGTATTACGTTATTCCATTTATTTTATTGTACTACAAAATTTAAATACTATATAAATAAGCATAATAAATTTTTTATATATAATCTCGATCCAATCTTTTAAGGAGATAATAATATGAATATTCAATCAAATTAATCTTATAAAAGAATATAATATTATTTTTAACTCAAAATTATAAAATATTAAGTTATAATTTTTTTTAATTATAAATTATTTAATTTTTTTATTTTTAGATAACGTGAGATTTTAATTTATACTTGAATTATTTCTTAATAATGAAAGTTGAGTCTCATTGTATAAAATGGAAAAATTGAGTAGTTTAAATAAAAATCATGACTTAATGTCTTAAGATTTTGAGTTAAAAGCGATATCATATTCTTTTATATGATTGATTCATGTTTCATTATTGAGAATCTCTTTATTATTAGTTCTCCTCAAAAATATTTATAAGTAGTATCGACTTGATGGTTTGTCTGTCGACCGACTCGATCGAGTGCTATTAGAGTAGGTGAAAAATTGTAGATTGCGGATTCTTGTGTTGAAAATCTTCTTAATAAGGATTTGTCTCACATTGGGTATAAATGAGAAAGTTGAATAACTTATAAATAAAAAAGATCCATAACCTAATGTCTTAAGATTTTGAGTTGAATGTGATATCATATTTTTTTATATAGTTGACTCATGTCACATTATTGAGAATATCTCTGTTATTAGTTTTTTTCAAAAATACCCCAGTAATCCATAAAACAAGATAAGACATTATAAAAGTGGCACATGTCCATCTTAATCGATTACAAGAAGTTTATAATGTTGCTTGTACATATAACAATGGACATTGAAATTCATACATATTTGATGCATATGGCGGTGATACTATTTTTTCCAATAAAAATGTGTCTTCCATTAATGTATCATACCTAGACTTCACTAGTGCAAAAAGGGGCTTTTATGTCAGGTATTTAGGGCTTTTTACGTCGTATTTAAGTCCGACGTTAAAATGGGAGACGTAAATTTACGTCGGACCCTTTAGCCCGACGTAGATTTACGTCAGTTATCAAGACCCGACGTAATTTTGCGTGGCATATACCACTAAACAGACGTAAAAACTTTTGAAAATAAAAAAAAAAACAGCAAATTTACGTCGCATATGGTATATGCGACGTAAATTTTCTGTTTTTTTTTTAAATTGGGTTTATTTATTCTGTTTTACAACTAAAACCTGTAAATATTATAACCGGACAGATCCAGAGGTTCAGTTTTCTTTAGCTAGTAAATTAAAAATATAATATTATATAATTCAAACTACATAATAAAACAATATAATACAAACATACAAACTAAAAAATCTATTACAAACTAAAAGTTAATACAAACTAAGCTACCTAAACTACATAATACACACAATATAATATGAACAAGAACTTAAAAAATTATGTACTAAAATTGTTGAACAAAAAATTTTGCCCATTGTTCTCTAATTTGTGTAATATCAGATTCTCAGTAATGGAGATGGATCTTGAAATACCTGAAACATGAATTTGACTCTTGTAAACATGCAACATGAATAAAGTTAAATAAACTTAACTAATGTTAAAAGTAATTACCTCCAGTCCAAGAATCAATTAAACCCGCACAAACTATGGCTCTCATCCAATACATTACATAGTAACCACATTCAAACGAGTACTGTTTGCTTATTACACTCGAAATGATGAAAAAAACATAATATTATTTTCAAAATTTAAATACAAACAATAATTATGGTATTCACTTATATAAATAAGTTTCTAACCTTAGGATAAATGAATTGCAAAGTCTTTGTTCTAGGTTTTCCACTTAGAACATTAGTTCCAGAAACGATTCTAAGTGAAAAAAGTCATATATTATTCAATATGTATTCACAATTTAAAAATATAATTAATGAATAAAAGATAAAGTTACCCTTGTAATAAGCTTTTCATTTCTTGACTCGGTTTCCGATGTAATGAACAAAATCACACCACAGTGTAATCCCGGGCATGATTACAATTAACCGCCAATGGGACCTACATTGTATGACGTAAAAATTAGTTACAAAAATATAAATTAAAATACAAATTAAAATACTAACCCTTCAATGTATGGAGCCAAATATATATGTCTTTTTGAGTCACTCATCCATGTTTGCATATATTGTTGGATTCCAACCTTTGTATTTCCAGATTTTTGGATGGATTGAGGTTCAAGAAATCCGTATACTTCAGATTTTTCTTGTTCCACACTCAATTTGTCAAGGTACCTAAAACAATTAATTATAAGTTGAATATAATTATTATAATCTTAGAAACATAAATGAGAATGACTTACATTGCCCACAATTGTATGATGGAAATGTTTAACATGCAATTTCCCCAAGCAATTTCTAAAGCATCGGGCAAGGAAATGTATAATGGAACACCTGGAATTGTCAATTCCAAACACTCTAACATCCCATTGTATCTGACACGGTCTCTTCCTCAACCGTGGTAATATGGTCAACAACATAGAGATGGGATCATCATCACATTCCGTCAGATCCTCATCAATAATAGGTTGTTTTTTATGCTTAGCACGACGCAAGTCCTCCTAAACAAATGATAACAATTAATTAAACATTTATATAATTATAATACTAGAAAAGAGAAAATAGACAATATATATATATATATATATATATATATATATATATATATATATATATATTACCTTGGTCTGTGCTGATAGTGGCATAACTAAACGTCTTGGCCAAGCCAAGAATGTCTCGCTTGCTTGCCCCACTAATTGAATATCTTCATTAGGAAAAGGCACTGGAGCATTAGCATCATGAACTTCATCAATTACTACTCGTGTCCAGTCTGCCTGTAGAGGGACACCATGGATGGTTAAGCCACCCTCAAAAACTCGACCAATAGCCAC